CAAAAGATGCCCCGGCCACTCTATTCATTCATTTATTTATTGCTGGTTATTTATTACTGGTATTTCTATACACTCCACTCAGCGCCATGCAGTTATAGTCTGGTTCACCCACCACAGCTCTGAATTGCCGATAAATCAAAACAAATGTTTCTATGCAAGTCATAAGTACAGAACAAGCAGAGCTTTTGCCTTGGGCATCAGCAGGTTCCGGATGCCTTTATCAAAATGGCAGATGCCATGTTGCAGCATCATGTTACATGCGTGGATGCCATGATGCATGTACCAAAAGTGTGTTTATGACATGATGCACGTACAAGATGCACAGCACTGTTTTTATCATCCTGCCCCCTTATTCCCTCACGGACGCCACTGGCTTCTGACCTCCACTTAGAGCAGCCGTCCAAGAGAATAGCTCACACGTACAGCACTATAAAGCGATACAACCAGAGTGTCAACTACCTGGTAGATGAGCAACAAGGGGAGTCTTGAGTTGCCGTTACTTACGCTGAAGTATATTCCTTTGCTCCAGTTCTTCTGCCGTTGGTCTCTGGCTCAATCGCCTTTTTATTTTTTAAAAGAAAAAACAGCGTTTTAGGCAATGGCATTGCTCTGGGGCAAGCACACCAAAGCAAGCTTCGCGATGGTCCTAATACAAATGACCTCTTTTTTTAAGATGGCCGTTTGGCTTCGAAGGCAAAATGGTGTTTCAGGAAGTACAGGGGCATGAACACAGCACTGGTATGCAGCTCTTTAAATCCAGCTGGCCTTTTCCTGGGATTGCAAGGGGGCTGTAGGGGTCACTGCAGGATGCCTGGGAAAGGCGTGGCTGCTTTAAGGGGCTACGGACGGGGATTACATGAGCCCACTCCTGCTCCAAGCCAGCTTTTTGCTCTTGAATCCGAAGTCCTGTGCAGCCCTATCAAATACCCCTCTGGTGAAAAGTTTTCCCCTGTAATGATGCGAAATACTGTAGAAGGGCCAGGCAGACTCCAGGTGTGCAAGATCTGCTGGAAAAAAACCTGGGGCCTCATAGTCTATCAGCCAGAGCTGGTGGAGTGTGAACCCTTCAAGTTCAGAATCAGAGTCCAATTTCCTTACATCAGCAGAAATGAATTTATAGTCTTTTCATACAAACATTCAACAGCCTAATTTAGAAAGAAAAGCAAGCAGAACGTATTTTATTCTGGTTGCTATGGTCAAACACATGGAGGGCACAAAACCCTTGCCAACCTATAGAAATCCATCACCTGATCCCCATCTACTTGCTGTCCACTCCATTATTAAAAAAAAAAATAGAGGACATTAAAACAGTATATCTACATCAAGAATTTTAACCCCAGTTGTATTCCAGGATTTCAATCCATGGTCCAGATTAAGACTCCATTTTCCACGTTTGATTGCATGTATAAGTTGATATCTTATTAAAGAAGAATTACCCTTCCCCTGAAGAGATCCATGGGAATTTTATGGCTTTGCAGAAACTGTGGTGCCTATGAATAATTCTGTTTAAAGATAAATGTCTTTAGCTGCCTGTGTAGATCGAAGATCTGTTCATAAGACTGCCAGGACCTAAACAGATAATGGGACTGTGTACCTTTAAAATTGAGAACACTGTCTGGTTAGCAAACACCCTCATAATCTTTGGGGATAGTCCCCAAACTCTTAAGAGCATGTTACAAGTAAGCCAAAGGCTTGCTTTTACTGTCCTTTAGCCCTTCCTACCTGATTAGCGTTGTCCCAATCTGCTGTCGGATTTCATTCCATTCTTCCTTGCTCTTCCGAGGAAAAGTGCTCTCTTTTGGTAATTCCTGCCATGGAGCCATGTTTCCCAATTTTATAGCCAAGGTGTCTTTCCTCTTGACTTTATTGGCCAGGGCCGCTAGTGAAAACAAGACAATGAATAGTCACAAGACAATCAAAAGTGATTGATGTATTTCTTGATCAAATTTAGAGAGCCGCCCAACTCCATAAAGTCTTTGGGAGTGTATAACGTTTAAAAATATCAAAAACCAAAATAAAAAAAGAACAATGTACATCCAGAAGAAAAACCTGTACAAAAATTGTGTAACTAATTACAACCAATTTTGCCCAACCCTTTAGATTCTGTTCCAGTTCTACATTCATGATACACAGTATGAGATTAAGGATGATGGATGTATTACTTGGGGCAAAAAATGTTCAACTATGGTCACACTTTTTGTTGTTGTTCTCAGCCAGTCTATGATCCTAAGTAGAGCAAATGTGATCCTAAGGGCAGGGAAGAGGAGATCCTTACTGTTGTGGCTTTCATCTTCATCTTCCTCCTCCTCCTCCTCCTCCTCCTTGTACAAAATGGGTCCCTCCGAATCCGAATCACTTGGTCCCTCTTCTTCATCCTGCACAGTCTGCAGTATGAGCCTGGGAATAACTGCAACCATTGGGGTCTCTCCAATGTAAACATGGTGATTGGAAGGACATGTATCTCCTGAGCCATCTTCCTCTTCTTCTTCATCGTCTGGACTAACAAGCAAAGGCATACAATTATTCATATTATATAATAACTATTATTATTATTATTATTATTACATGTATTAATTGCCTTTTCAGAGGTTCTGAAGGAGCTCTAGAAGCAAAGCAAAATTGCTAGAGTCACTTCCTCGTGAGATGGGCAGTGTCCAGATTTTAAATAAATAAATAAATATAAATATAAATAAAAGGACCCGTGGATGGGCTGCATGGTAGCATAATATATCTCAGGCATAGCAGATGCGAATTATTACAAACATCAAAAGGAGACTTCCCCCCACAAGAAAGATCTGGGACTACAAATTCCAGATTCCTTTTAGCCATTCTGAGTTGAATTCTAGGAGCCATAATCCCAACAGTAACAAAGTGCAATAGATTGGAAAATGTTTGATCTGGAGAATCAGAAGATGACATTTGCTTGTTTTTAATTCTCTCCTGAAAGGAAAGGGTCCTTTCTCAGCCAGTAACAGTGAAGGCACAGGAGCAGCGTATGTACTAGGAACCCAACAGAAACACTCCCTCGTGCCAAAGTCCCAGTCAGATTATGCCCCCATTGTCTGCTACCTGGACTGGAAAAATCCTCTCATTTAAGGAAATGAAATTTTTTTCCCCAAGCAAATTACCAAGAGAAGAGAATCTAAGCGTGGTATTAGCAGCCCTTCAAGGTAGTCCAGACAGGAAACCAAAGCCATGAGCACTAACACTATCTTTATTGTAAGGTTACAGTAATAGAATCTTCAAGTCTGAAAGCGCTTCTCCCCTCCTTCCCTTTTACTCTCCAGAAAACCAGGGAGGGTCCCTTCTGAGATGCTTCCCGCACCTCCTTTCCTTCCGTGGGCTGAGATATCTCTCGCCTGAGCATTGCCCTGGCTGCGGCTCTTCCTCCTCCTGTCTCCCAGGGTTATTCTCACAGAGCATTACAGGTAGTGGTTTTTTGGGGGGGGGGTAACAAACACTATTTACTTTATTCTGCCCCCATCTACCCGTGACATCCAGTCTCTACCTCATCTGGATACATGAATCCTGGGGGGAAAATTCTCACCCTCCAGTATAGTCACTTGTTGAGATGGGTGGCTATAGAAATCAAATAAATAAATAACAAATAAAATAAACAGACTACTTCAGCCATTCCCTTCATCTCATTCAATTGGGGCAATATGGATATTTCAAAAGGCACTTTAGGTAGATATCTACTCCTCTTCCTTTCCATCCACCACATCTTCAGTCAACGGCTGTCTTTCCTTCCTCTCCTCCTTCAGGTAAAAATTTATTAGCAAGCATTTGGCAACCAATCTTGCACACGCATATCAACTGACAATAGCCCTAATCCCTGTCTGCCCTCCTACGAAAATTAAAATGCAAAACGGGTCAATATTGGTTACGTCACAATCTTTGCGCAGCACAATTCTCTCAGCTTAGATTTTTAGTGATTCGGTTCTCACTATGCAGAAGACCAGGATAAAAGGAGAGTGGGTAGTTTGTGGCTTAGTGTGCTGTGGGACTCAGCCCCGGCCTTAGCCCATGGTATGAATCTGGTCATCCTGTTAAGCCATGATATGGCTTCTTTGTTTAGCTACAGCATATTACATGAAGACAGCCATTGTTTTTTATTTACCAAAGTTTAGGGTTAAGCATATTGCATGACCCCAGCCAACAAATCAACCATTAGATCTCCTTCTCCAGTCTAGTACCCTGGATCTGCTGAATTACACCATTAATCATTTCCAGACAGCAGAGCTGTTGGTCTCAGGGAAGGTTACCTTAATGCCAACTTTTCACAAAGTATACCCAGTATCTTCACAATGTATTTTCACTAAGTATCAGCTTGATGAGGAGCAGCACAGTAATCAATCTCAGTTGAGAACATTCTTATATACCGTTTAAATAAATTTAGCTGGTGGGCATCTATCACTATTTTTTTTTTAAAGGTCTGCACTTGGGAGCAAATGCAAAAAAAGGAGACTGATCTGACCGCACCCAGCTTCTGACCAGCAAACCAAAACGTGACTCACACTTTCAACAGCTCGATGGTAACAGGCAGAGATCTCGTCCTGCCTACTGTTCCATTATCCTCGCAGCAGCCTTCGCTCTCAAAGAGCAGTGAGTGAGCCCGGTGTGAGCCTTCAGCAGGTGGGGTGGCTGGCAGGGGGCTACTCAATGCCTGCTGGATGCGGATGTGCAGCGGGACCTGGGACAAACGAGGAAGCCCTTGAGGTTCTCCAAACCCCTGCTCGGCCGCTCTTTTGGCTGGATCCAGCACCGAAAGACCTTCTTGTTGACTCTCCATCCGCAGTTCGGTGGGAAAGGGAGGCTCTGCCCCATAGAGGGGGATAGGCAATGGAACGTTGGGGGGTTCTGATGGAATGTGAGAAGACAGGGGGAGTGAAGGAACAGCCGGAGGGAGAGTTGAGATCATGTGTGGAGGTAGCGAGGAAGGATAGGATGATGACATGATCCTCTCATTAGGGGATTTGGGAGCAGTGGCCGATTCTAGGAAGGAAGATGCATTCAGAGGGATGCCCCTCTTGGGAGGCAGAGGTGGAGAAGGCTTCAACAACGGTGTGCCACTGTTAATCACCTGAGATAATTCAGCTAGAAGGAAACAGAGAGATACCCATTACATTGGATGGAAATGAAAATCTTTATCATAGGATGAATCTAGAAAGGGACCCAGCTCTGCAAACATAGGACCTTTCTAAGACATGCGCAAGAAGCTAATATGTTAGGCACTTATTCACAGAAGTGGGGCAGACATCAGCAAAATTGTTCAGTCACCAAGATTGTTAAAAAGCCCTTTTAACAGCTTGGCTGCTAACTAATTGCTCTGCATACCTACATCATTTACTAACGAGCTGCGTCACCTTTACTGATGTAATGTTTCATTCTTTGCCCTAAACTAAGATTTCCAGTTGAGTGTGTTTTATTAACACTGAATCATCTTGTGAAGCTTTTATTCCCCCCACTCCACCCAAGGCAAGATACAAATACATTAAATATACAAACAAAGGTATTAAGTTTGAATCTGGTACAAGCCATTCATGCTATGGGACAGCCTTATGATGCTGTTCTTTTTTGACCCCATTTCCCCCAACAATACATCTGGAGGAAAATCAACCTACATTTGAAAAGAGGGGAAGAGCAATTTTAGATTGCTATTACACCTACACACTGAATGCTGGATTTCTGCCCATTATTTCACAGGCTAGGTTTCTGACTTCACACAATGATCAACAACAACAACCTGTCTAAGCATGTTTATGCAATGAACAAAGATGTCAGTTTCTTTCTTCTTTCCTCTCTCACGTTGCTGTCTTTGTACAAATTGCTACAAACTCTTTGGTTGTCTTACAAATATCAGATAAACAAGCAGCTCCTATAAATGTGAACCAGGCGGAACGTGCCGGGGAAGGGCAATTCACCTTGGAAATTTGTAAGACTTGCGTCTTTACCTGCCTCGCAGACCAATCCTGAATATAACAAGAAGTGGTTTTGCTAGACAGGACAGGTTGTCCAGTTACAATTCAAAAATGCTAATGTGGGCAGAGGGCACTTTCTGAAGATAAAAGCAAAGCTTCTCATTACCCTTTCATATAAAAAAGGCCAAAATAAAAACTTATCAAACAAAGATAGATACTGTTCATTCTGAACCTATCAAGTCAACCCTAAGCACCTTTTCATGCATTCATACATTCAAGCTGTTCGTGTTTATCTCAGTGAAGTAGTACTTTCAGTACTGGGAAGTTTTCTGAGATGACTTCCTATCAGACATACATAATCTCAAGTCTCTGTGTCCTCTCCAAAGTTACTCATGAATTGTGGGGTCAGGATGAGGAAAAAGTTATGTTGAAGCCATGGACTCTGCATTTAGTTGCAGGCTGTTTCAAACATAGCATTAAACTATGGTTTGTTTTAACTATGATTTGTTAAATAATCCACATTGTTTCAAGCAACAAGCATGGTTTACAACCCACAATGACTGGGTTTGCACCGTGTGCTAAGCCAAAGGCAAACAAGTTGTTTTATGGTTCAAGACTCAGAGTCTTAAGACTGAACATGGGAGGGATTGCTATCTCTTGAGTTTTCTTTCACCTGCAACATGTATTTATTTATTTATTTTATTAATCAAATTTATGCGCCGCCCATCTCACTGTACAAGTGACTCTAGGTGGCTTACAAGTAAAAAAGCAATCAAAGCAATAAAAATCTGTACAAAACTATACAAGTTAAAAGGCGGAGAGCGCGTCTTCAAGCCACCAACCAAATGTGATCCCTGTGCTAGTTGCCAGAGCCGCGTCTTAATGTTCTTCCGGAAGGCCAAAAGAGTGGGGGCCAATCTCACCTCAGGGGGCAAGACGTTCCACAGGGCAGGGGCAAGAGCAGAAAAGGCTCCTCTCCTAGACCCCGCCACTCAAACTTCTCTAGTCGACAGGGTCCATAACGTGGCCTTCCTGACGGACCGGGTGGGACAGGTCGATGTAACTGGGACAGGACGATTCTTATATATACTTCCCTACCTAATCTGAGCTGCTTCCTTCTCAAGGAGCTTTTCCTTGTTCTGTATTTATGTTCCTCCATCCCATAAGACAGTGTTGTCCAAACTTGGCCACTTTAAGATGAGTGGACTTCAACTCCCAGAATTCCCCAGCCAGTCATTCTGGGAGTTGAAGT